ACATAAGCTTCCCATTTAATTCTGTGTGCAGTCTGTACTCCGCATTGTTTCGGATGTGGTTGTGGGTAATGATTCTAGCTAGTGGTAGTATTGCACATCTTCTTATGTCGTGAGATAAAGGCAAGCAAGAAAATGGAGAAAAGCTATCCAGAAAATGCCAACATCTGTAAGATGAACAAGATGGAAACACTTTCAGTAATTTTAAGGTACATTCTTTCTTTACAGAGCTACACTGAATATCTATTAATCTATAGAATTTGTATTATCTGTTCAACATCTATTTAAATATGATGTGGAATTGAAGAATTGAATACATCATTTACTCCTTCTATCTTCTGTTTATCTTCCCACTATAGCTTTTGAAAATTATTACATGGCAACTACAGTTATCAGCCACAAATTTTACTTACAGCCTCTCAAGATGGCATAAACCACTTTCTCTGAATGGGAAAATTTTCTGCAGCATCCTCTTGCGCTGCCTGGAATTGCACTTCTTCATTACATGTAAAAGCAATGCAAGTATTGCAGGAAGTTATAATTTCTAGTGGATATAAATACAGGACAGTGCTGAGCATGTGGTCTTGCACAGCTTCTCCTTCCCAGGAGTCTGTGATGACTTGCCCATCCATATAGGTTGAACCTCTGCTCACCTTTATGTAGCTGGAAATTAAATTAGCACAGTCTGCTGTACTGAAAAGAATTCAACGTGGAACAGCCTTAGAACTATTTGTTCTATTCACCTCTGCCTCACATCCTTTCTCATAACTCTTCTATACATAGCTCTCTCTTGACATGCTTCTCACAACAGCAAATAATGAAGGCATGGCCAGTCTGGCTAGAAGGATAAAAACCAGTTCCAACCCCACTCACCTAAAGATAAATATGCAGTTCATTAAGATACTGCAAGTTAGGGAGCAACTGTGGAAAAATATATTCCTTATGCCTTTGTTATACTGCTGGAGGGGCCCTAGTGTGCCATTAGTGTACTTTCTCAATTTTCTACGTGTGTAACTGCTGTCACCCAGGTGATGTATTCAGAGATAAATTTCATGTTGTGTCACAACTGCCTTTCTATCTGTAATAAATCTGAGAAATCAGACTAGGAACTGAGGAATTTCTTAAAAATAAATGCCTGGCTCCAGCATTTAAAATAAACTATTTCTCAGTACAAATAAGGAAGTTAATGGTATCAGATGACTGGTTCAGAATGGCACAATTTTGGCCTTATGTGCTTTTCACTGAAAAGTGTCTCAAGGACTTAAACACCTAGGGACATCAGCCTGCATGACCTACATTTCAGAGTACCTTGTCTGTCACAGGATAGACAACATAAGACAATTGGTGCAGCAGCAGCAGCCCCAAGGATGGCAGATTTACTTAGTGTGTGGGCAGCAACTGTTGTGGACTGTAGGTTTGGACGCTCCCTGCAAGTACTGATTTACAAGGGGGAGACGGCTGCTGCCAGCACACTGCATGTGCACCTGCTCCTTGCCATAAAGAGCTCACAGGCTACGAGCAGGATTGTTTAGTGCCAGGATGGTGTCATAACCACGGCCTTCAAACCAGGTATCATCCCAGAGTGACTGCAGTAATTACAGTAAGTAAATCTAGAAAATACTGTCATGAATAATACTGAATAGGGAACACTAAGTAGCAATTCAGTTTTTGTTTTCTTAATAGTTCTTGATGCCAGAACAGGCTTCTTGATACCATGTATAAATTTACATTGCAGTAGAATTCCCACCTCTTTGCTTCCATGTAATTCTCAGCCATAACCTCACTGCTTTGTGTCATTTCTGGTGATCACTCACCTGTTTGCTAAAATACCTAGTTTTGTTCTGATTAAATGGAAAAGTGGTGAGACACATGGAACTAGGTGAACTGTCAAACCTCACTAAAACTTACAGCATGAAAGTATTCCCCAAATAAGCACTTCCCTAGGAGGAAGAGACTTGACAGACAACATCAACAACAGAATTCTTGAACACCACCCAGTTGATGAGAGTCTGTTTAGGGCTATGTTATATAATTTGGCATAATTGCAGTTATAAACACTTGAAGAAGCCTTGGAAGCACAAATGTCACTGAAGCTTACGTTGTAGTGGATCTCGTTGCATTTGGCAGCTGTACAAAGCTGCAGAGCATGGAAATTTACTCAGATGGATCTGAGTATACAAACACAGACCACAAGCTTTGAATGCTCAATACAATTTTCTTCTGTACAGACAAGATACCACAAAGTCTCCCAGAGGCTTCTGTCCAGTCACCCAGCATGAAGTACCTTATCTGAAAAAATGCATTTTTCAAAAAGCTATACATCCTTCTATCAGATTTCCTTAGATCATTGCTCCACCATGGACTATCACACTACCTCTCAGAATATTGAGTATACTTTGTAGGAAAACAAGAAAGTATCCTCATTCAAATTTTAAGATACATGTCTGGAATGCAAGGCAAATACTGACTTTTTGTGCTGATGAGGGAAATTTAGATCAGTTGGTTTATCCTGCTCTTGTTTGAAAGTCAGAGAGACTTTCTCATTTTCTTTCTGACTCATTCTCCACTTGCACTGCTGTAGTTTCAAAATTATCTATAGTATAAATGTTATTAATAACATTTGTCTGACTAGACAATCAGCAGAAGTTAAAGCATGCTTACAGATAGGAGACGGTGCTATAAACAGCTACTGCCAGCATCTACATTTTAATTTTTTCACAAATTTCAAGACTACAATCAACAGCAATACTTACAGTCCTGCTTATTTTCAGTTGTTCTGCTCACTGCATAATAGGGAACAGAAATACTGGAGGTTTCAAAATGTAATAAAACAACCTATTCTTTTCAGGCATCTTCCAGAGCATTCACAGAAATGCTTCCTTTCCCCAGACTAACCTAGAACTTTTCAAATAGAATTCATCAAGTGATTATTCTCATTGGTTTTCTTTTTACAGCATACACCAGAGGCTGTGTACTGTGCTGTATGTTGAGAAACAACAGCATTTTAATTAGCAGGAGTATTAACAAAACCCTTTTTGAACATCAAACAATTATTTCATTTGTCTCTTTATTTATCATAAGGAAACAACTAATTAACTTTCACTTCTGGGCAGTATTTTTTTTTGTAGAAGATTTAAGCACCATCTACAGAATTTAGTTTCATCTCCCACAGCAGGTGCAATGCTATTAAATGGAGTGAACAGACAGAAGACTTTTTTTCATTAGTTAAATTATTACATCCTACTACTGCACACCAAATGAGCTCTAATGTACTTAGTGTGACAAAATGGCAGCAGTGTCCTGGAGTAGAAACCCTTCACTGTCACTAATCAGCAATCATACTGAATATGTAGACACTACTGAAAAATGTTACTGAAAGGCAATCTAAAGAAATACATTAATTCCACAATCAAAAAACGGTACCAAAAAAATCAGGTAGAGATACAGCCATTTTTTAGTGAAACATCCCCGCCTTACCCTGATTCTGTGGCAAGATAATTGTTAATATTTGAGAGAAGAAATGAATGAAACTTTGCCCTTAAGAGAAAAGATGTGAAAGCTGGGATATCTATCCAGATAAGGCGTTCAAAGTCTGCTACATGAGAGCTCTCTTTTAAAGACAAATATCTGAGTTATGTTCAAGTATAAGCACAAATTATGTTATAGCATGCTTTACTGATCACCATCCAAATGGTCTTTGCACAATTAATATACAGAGGTTAAACTGTACTACCAATGTCCCAATATACTAAGTAATAACTCATTAAATCTAAGAAAAAAACTAATTGGCTAGCAAAAAATACATTTGTTACAGAAGACATTAAATGCAAGGATAACAATTTTCATAATGTTGAGCCTCAGCCTAAGGGCTTAAGTATCACTACCTAGGTTTTGTTGAGAAAAGAGAGCTGAGCCATGTTTCACAGAAAAGGAGCACTCAACCAGGTGCATACAGTCGAAACCGGAGAGGAGAAAATGTGACTATTCAAACTATTTGGCTATTGAATTTTCTCCAGCAACTAAATCTAGTATTTGTTTTTAGAGAATACTGTAATCTCATTTTATTTGTCATAAGAAACTGATATGACAGTACCTGATGTGCTAACTCTTAGTTCTTACCTTTAGGAAGTCTCACCTTGTTTTAAAAGATCAAATTTGAGTATCTTCAGCTTCTAGCTGATGGAACCTGTTTTGTCTTCAGGATAACCTGTCTCCTGTGGAAATGCTGATGTGTTTTTGAGTCACCCTGCCACCTCCTCTTAGCTAAACTGAATATCATGCTCTGTACGCATTAAATCACGAAGCATGTTCCAGCCTCAGAACTAGTGGAACTTTTTCTTACAGTTCTCCCTTATATTTCTAAATCATCTGTGAAGCGTGGGCTCCAAGCCCGGACTCAGAGTCTCACCATTCCCATCACTGTGAAATCACTTCTCAGATTTTATGTGCATTTTTTTTTTTTTTTTTTTTTTTTAATATCAAGCAACAAAAAAAGAAAGAAAAAAAAAAAGGAATTGCAAAATTTTCTCTTGACAAGATGATCAACTGCAACCCACTCTCTCCTTTTGAGGAGTTGCTACTTCCAAAAAAAAAAACAACAAACCAAAGCATTTGAATGCTTTACCTTTCCCCTTCTTAAAATAGGTTAGCTTGCATTTGACTTTACAAAATCACTTATTTTTAGATTGGGATCATTCTATAACAATAACCAATGACTTTACAAAATCACTTATTTTTAGATTGGGATCATTCTATAACAGTAACCATCTTAGAAGTCTATTAGTAAATAATCCACTGACTTCTCTAGAAATATAATAAAAGTTTTGTATCCTGTTGAGAGAGTTAACATAGAAATTAAATGTAAACGTAGCTTGCCCACACTGTGCAAAAAAACCCAACCAAACAAGGATGCTTCTGGTTTGTTGGTAAACTGATTACTCACCTTTCATATACAGAAACACAGTTTTCTGAACCTTCTGTAACATTTGCTGAATAAGAATTACCTGAGTAAACTGCCAGTAAAGCTTCATTCTCTTGGCTTTGGCGTAATTGCATTCAATGAGCCTGGGCCTGCTGTTCACATCCACCAGGCATCTGTTGTCATCATCGTCAATAGTGGGACTCAAAACACCCACATGGAGCTGCTGATTGCTTGTGTAATAAACATTCTGCAAGAGGAAACACAAACATGATTTGTGGCCTCTAAAAAGAAGCAGCACTTTCACCAAAAAACACGTGGCAAATATAAACATGCTGAATAGCAGTAGGCTGATCCTATGGTTACTTTTAAATTGTTTCCATTCATACAGGAAGCAACATAACATTTTAAAATTAACAGTTAACTAACAAACATTGTTGGTAATAGTTAATTACTGAATTTAGTCTCCTATTCAGTCTTGTTTGGTCTGAGCAGATCCTGCAGGGCAGAAGCAAAATGATGGCCCTGACTGGGTGAACTACCTAAATCTGTTTGTTAGCAAAACTTTACAGAAATAGGACAACTGAATGTAATCGTGCTCAGTAGAAATAATAAGCAGGTTGCCATTTACCTTTCAAAGAGCTCAATATACCCACTAAGATCACTTCACTTATCAGTGGCGACCAGTTTAGAAAAAGAAGTGTGAAATTCTCAAATACTATGGGGACAGGCATCTTTCAGTTTATAATCAGCATGTAAAATAAACTCAAACTGAAGCTGACTGAGATGGTTATTCCTTCTAACTGAGCTATTTCAGGATATTACTTTGCTTATCAAATACTATGGATAATATTATGTTACTATAAATATAATTACTGTATATTATAGTATTACTGTATATTATAGCATCTTATCCAATAATATCACATCTTCCAGAATAGAGCCCATTATGCACAGTATTATCATTACTATGTTTATCCGATATCTGTATCACATTATAAGCACCCATCTTGTAAAAATTCTGCTTCAGCTGCTAATGATAAGTAATGATAATGGTAAGATAACAGTTTGTGTAGCTCACCAGACAGCTTTTCTGAAAACTATGAACAACCCCCAGCTCCTTTACCCCATCCCCAGAACAGGAGAGTCCCCGAGTTACCATTTCACAATGTACTTGTTAGGTATACATGCGTGACTTTCTTTTAATCATTTTTTAAACTGGCCTACAGGTAAAAGTATTACATATAAAAACCACGCTTGCATTTTATTATTTTCTATGTCGCTCTATAAAAACGAGTTTGTATTTGTAATTTAAATACGTTATTATAAAGATGAATGTCCATAGCAGCACTTACTCAAGCTTTTAACAAATATTATTAATTATGCCAGCCAGTCTTAAGTACAAAATGGATAACAAAGCATTTTTTGTTTCAAAAGCTTCAGAAGACACAGGCAAAACACCTTACCAGCAATTCTGCTCCTAAAATACTGCAGCATCACCATCAACTAAACCAACAGGATAGAAATGTTGAGATAAACTAGAAAAGTAGTAATTTTTGAACAATCACTTCAGTACTAATTAGAGTGACTTTGAAATTTTGACTCAGACTCTGAGTTTTGTTCCTCTAGAACGGCGAATATCTCAGTAGTCACTGTTCAAAGCACTGGAAACTCAGTAGCTAAAAATGTGCTTATTTCCACTTAAGTTAAAAATACTGGCTGTCTGCAGATGGAGACAGTCAAAGGGTCTTTGCACTTTTACTCAGGAAATGAAAGCCTCAGCCAAATACAATCACACACCAGCAGCACACACACACACACTCCCTGCAGAGCTGCTGAATTTCCACAGAAATAACCTTGTTTTGATACAGGTATGAGAGCAGATAACAATAAAATAAATAAAAACAACAGCAACAACAACAACAAAAACCCCACAAAAAACAAAACAATAACACAAAAAACCCAATTCTCTTAATCTGTAATAAAATAAGCTTCCTCCTTATATTGCATTAATCAGCTACAACCCACAGCACTCTGCTATCTGTTTTTTTTCCCCGTAATAGTACTGATGCACTATGCTATGTCTCCTGAGCAGTGGGAAGGAAGCACCATTTTCAGGAAGTCAGGTAAGTCAAGAAAAGTGAAACTGCAAGGATTCAGTGTTCCCATCAGTTATAAACTCACAGGATTTGTGATTAGACAGGTGTCAGAGCCAAAACACAGCCTGAGTCTTACACGCTTGCACAGCTTTGACCACAGTCCCCCCAGGTGCTTTCAAGGTGGAAGAGTGTAGTTTACACACTGACAGGTTGGCTCTGGAGGCTGCTGCTTCCTTCCTGTGTTCCCTCCCCACTCAGCAGGTCGAGCTGCCTTCTAGAAACATCCTCAGGAAGCCTAGGCTGGCAGCACATTAAAGTAGTGCAAAAGAATTTGTTCAAAACAAAGATTTGGTGTTATTAGTGTAAAGGTTTGCAGCAAGTAAGGGATTAAATTAGTAGAAGCCTACATACCTGGTGCTGAAGAAAAGTGCATCATCAGTTGCCTTCAAAGCTTGACATATATCTCTGCCAAAATCTTTCTGTTTCACTTTCTTGTGTTTTTTTTTTTGTTTGTTTGTTTTTTAAATTTCAGTACAGCTTCATAACTGAATATAACTGTTTTTCCTCCAGACAGTAAGAGTTGGTATAGAGGGTTTTTGTCGTTGGGATTTTTTTTTTTTTTCTGGAAAAGCTTTTCGTGCAATTTTCCTCGTGCCTTGAACTATCTTCCAGCTAAAGGACCAATTGTTCCTTAGCCTTCTTTATATTCCTAAAAGTCACTATTCTGGGGTCAGTGCTTCAGTTTCTGTTTTTATACCACCTGTTACACTCTCTGAATATCCATATTAAGACAAAATAAATAAGACAAGCAAACAGTGATTGCTATCACATTATTAGGACTAATGAAATATTTCCCAGGTTCTCATAAGGTCAAGAGACAATTTTAGTCATGGTATGTTTTTTATCTGTTCTAAATATTTTTCTGTCAAAAAAGACAGCTGAAATATGAAAACAAATGAGAGGTAGTTAGCAGCTAGTTAACAGCTGCACAGCCTTGGACTCTCAAGACATCCTCATTTCAGGTGAACTGATTTGCTGTAAACCGTATCAGAAAATTCACTTTACAATGCTATAGTGAAAACAAAAATTTATATACACTTCTGCTACTCAAACCAGCTCCAGAATAAAGGAGAAGAAGCTCCATCCTTTATTTACCACTGGACCAAGCACATCGTTGCTCATTTTGGATGAAATTAAGAATTTCATCCCTCTTGATGCAAACTCATGTGCAAATCAGCATGGAAGAGCAATAGAAGAGCTCATGCCTGGAGTTGCAGTCCCCCCTGCTTAATTATTGTATTCAGAGCAAAAGTTCATTTAACTCTTCTGTTCTACTTCATCTCCTCCTTGACAAACTCTGCTTTCAAATCTTAACATCTCACTTGTGCAGCCAGTCACCTAACTGCCAAAAAAATTCACCCTGTGCTAAGCTACACTCACCAGGAAACACAAGTGCACAGCACGTGCATGTGCTGGAGACATAAAGTGGGCAGAGCAAAAAAGCAGATCTATGTAAGAATGCTCAACATTAGACAAAACAATTCATGATTTACAAAGGTTAGAGCTGGCATAATGCCCACTGAATCTAGCCCACACATCTAACTGTAAATACCTCTTTGCTGATATTAAAGCTTGTCTGACTAGATTTGGCTACTTCTGTTTACATGGCAGAACCACACAAAGCTCGCTTGTGATATCCCCAGGTAGCTCTGCAGTTCCATCACGAGGCAACAAGGCTCTGCTGCAGCAACCAGAGGCCAAAACTGGGGACACGCCTGAGTGGTACAGATCAGCCAGCAAGCTGGCCAACTGGAAACTGCTGTTGTCTTCTCTAGAAAATTTCCAACTGGATTTCCATTGCAAATTTCCTGTTGGGCTAGAATGATTTAGAATTTTGGTAGGATACTTACATCATATATACTTTGCTGCAGTGCTGCAATACAGAACATCCTAAATCTGCCATCAGAGCAATGAAGGCACAAGTTAACTTGGTCAAGTCTTCTGCACAGTAAAAATACTTCAAACAACACAAAATCTGCACACACACACAAAAACAACAACAAACGATAGCTCGGGTGCAAGAGTAAGTAAATGAGCTTTGCTTATTAGGACACAAATATGTTGTTTCATCTTCCCAATGATGTGGTGTGGATTTTCTGTTGATGAGCATTTTGCCCTGACAGGTCAAATTGTTATTCCCACGGCAATTAACAGTGAAATTCCAATGACTTTAAGTGCAATGAGATTTTTGGCTCCCGGTTTATTATTAAATTTTGAAGAGCCCCCAGAGTTGATAAAGACCTCAGAGCTGAACTGGGTAGCCAGTTCCAGTAAATTATTCATAGAAGTCGGTTTATCATGTAGCAAGAAATTTAGCAAGAAGTTACAGTAAGATGTTCAACTTACCACCAGACAATTATCTGAAGGATAAATTGCCAACTCCCAATGGAATTTTAAAGCAATACACACCAATTTTCAGGCTGAAAGCCATTTGTAATCCTTATGGCAATGTTCCCAGATTAAATCTCTCTGGAGAACTGTACATGACTGTGCATTTATGATGAGCAAACGTAACGCTCACCAACAGCAATATTCGTTACCCTGCTTTTGGAATAATAACTATGAGGGATAAGAAGCCCAATTCTTTATTTCATCTTTGAGCTGTAACTTTTTTCCAATTGAATCCATTAAGTCTTTCACTGTTAGGAGTAATATATTAACATAGATCAGAAGTCTCACAGCAGATTCATACTGGAGTATAATTCGAGCTAAAAAGCAGTCTGGTGATTCCAGTAAATCCAGACTTAGTTATGTTACCTAGTACCATTGATGCTCAAATATTTACATTGTTCATGACTTTTTTTTTTATTCCCCAGAAGTTCTTGTAACATAAATGCATCTCAATGACAGAACCTTGTTTCCCCAATATGAAAACTCTCCACAGAATTCAAGTTCGTTATGAATAACACAAATATATCACTAGGATCAAAATCAAGTGTTTTTCTATTTATTATTCATGTGGGAAGAGCCTTCTTGCAGAAACCCTACTATAAAAATCAGTGAGTCAAAGAAGAATAGCATCCAGCAGCAGCTGCTATTTCTACAAGCCAGTAATTTCACACGGAGCAGAATTACTCTTTTTAGACACAGC